TCTTTGAACATGTGTTCAAGAATCAGATAGACCCAATATTGTTTAGAAGTTGAGAACTTTCTAAAAGTTAAAGTTATCTTCATTTTGGTATCATAATGTTCTGAAGATGTATCATGTCTGAGAATGTGATAATCAGAACATCAGAATCAAAAGCAGAAGCATATGTCTTCCAGAAGAACTGAGAAAATAAGAAGTTGAAGACTGTCTGAAATTCCTAAAGTCAAGACTTTCAAGATCTCGATATCTGATCTATTGGAACTATGGGGAGTCTTTACTCAAATGGTTCAGAGCCAGGATATTCGATCTTCATCAAGTCATTAACTCAGGGGGAGTATCAGAAAAAGGATAAGTATTTCTTACCCTTCTAACTTCACTGATTATGATTATATATACAAAATTATGTCATCAAAATACATAGTTTTGTTATCATCAAAAAGGGGGAGATTGTAAGAACAAGGTTTGGTTCTGCAATATTATCTCTGAGTTTTGATGATAACAAATGAGTATGATTGTATGAACAATTTTTTTATACTAATGTTTGTTATTATTGAGTGCTTAACAAACAGGTTCCACTTTTGATGGATGGCATGGCTAAGACATTAGAAGAGAAATGATTCTGCTTATATGCTACACAAGTTCTATTGAACAGTAGCAAGACACTCCAGAAGCCTCTGAAGTGTAAACTCTGATATTTGTCTGAAGAAACCAGTCAAAAGATCTAAAGACAGAAGTTGTTACTTATGTCCGAATGCTGAAGACTCACATTTCTAAAAGACAGTGTGTTTCAAGAAAAGTTAGAAGATATGAAGACGAAGTTTCTACTGAAGTCCAGATGCTAAAAACTTAGTTTCTAAAAGAAAACTTGTTTCAAAGAAGACAAAGTTAAAATATCTGAAGACAATGTTTCTAATTGAAGTCCAAATGCTAAAGACTTTGTGTTTCTAATAACAAGGTTCTGAAGTTAAGGATTCTTAAAGAACCAAGTGCTAAAGATTCTAAAAGACAGAAGGTCTGAAGATTCCAAAGACTTGAAGTTCTAAAGGTCCAAGGTTATCTACAAATAGATTCTGAAAACCAAGTGTTGAAGACTCTAAAGACGCAGTTCTTAAGACTCTAAAGACTTGAAGCTCTTATGATCTAAAGGTTCGCTACAATGGGTTCTCACGACCAAGTGCTAAAGACGCAGTTCTGAAGACTCTAAAGACTTGAAGTTCTGAAGACCTTATGTTATGTTCTCGCTTCTAATCTCATGCTCGCAGAAGCCTCTGAAGCGCAGATGGAAAGAATATAACGGTAACATAGTACGAAAATTTTTATGCCATTACCTCTCCTCTAAATTCAAGTGTGGAAGAGATAAGGACGTTGTTGTACTATTTGTAACGACTCTTTTTCAAATAGCCAACGACTCTATTTTTCTTGGCTATATAAGAAAAGAATCGTATATTTAAAAAAAGGTTGTTGGTTGGCGTGTTGGTTGTTCTTGGTTGCTGTTGCTCAACACATGATGCTGAATATTGATGAGATTGCCATAAGCTGCTTGGCTGGGTGCTAAAAGCTGTAAGTTGCATGTCGTTGTTGTTGGTTTTCAATGTTAAAAGATAACATTCATTTGCTGGAACAAAACTAAAGTTATCAACCACTATAACAAAAACAAGACCAATTGTCATCAAAATGATTCTCCAATCATTTTGTTAATGATTACAATGTAATCATTGATTCACAATGTGCGCAATTCTATATACTACATAAAGCTTGCTAAGATGCAGAAGATAATGAAGATGATCATGAATGTTCAAATTACAAATACACAACACAAATGTTATTCTCAAAAGTGATCATTGAAGAAGATAGAACAAGGGTTGTTGTCCAGAATTTTCTAAGGTGAATCAAGATGAAAAAGTTATTCTATTTATTACATCAAGATCAACAAAGCCTTCAGAAGCTTATGAAAAAGAGGACTTCAGCAATTCAAGTGTTTTAGACTGTTGTCCATGAAGAAGCTACTTGAAGAAAAGAAGATCACACATTAAAGCTAAAATAAAATGTAATATTTTTAGTGTGTATTAGGATCTTCTGATGTGCTTAATTCTGTTTACATTCAGCTTGTGAAGAAGCATTATTATTGTAAACAAATGTAAATGAAATAGTTTTTTGATGATACCTTGAGAGACTGAGTTAAGGTTTGATCTCAAGAAGACTTTGGCTACGGCCATAGTAGATGAAATCCTGGTAGTGGATTCTACTGGGTCAATGGTAATCATATCTCAAAGGGGATTGAGTGAAGGTCAGCCTTTTGAAATCACTGATGGGCATCATTGGAAGGAAATCCTGATAGGAGATTCTGAAGAATCGGATTTTGTTGGGTCAATGAGTGTTATATTCGGTTTGGATCCCTGAATGTTTCATTGGATGTTAGTCACCAACAGTTTCCCGTGCGATTGTAATAAGAATGATTATAGTGGATTAAGTCTTTGAGTTCAAGGTGAAATCATCTCAGAAGGATGGACTGGATTACCTTAGGGGTTTCTCAAGTGAACCAGGATATATCGCGTGTTCTTTAATTTTGTTTATGCTTTAGAGTTTATATTTTTTGAACCAAATTAGAAGCAACAATCAGAAGCATTATTCGATGAATAATGCTTATAAGCGAAAGTTTTACAAGAAAGGAAAAACCAAATCAACCCCCCCCCCCCTTTTCTTGTGTTTTTTTCACACCTTCAAGTGTTCCAGGATCTAGACCTGCTCCTTGGAAAAACTGACCAGGAAGCCTTTGAAAGGTATCAACTCAGACATGTCCATAGCCATACCGTTGAAAGCATCCTAGTACAGGATGTCAACAGAACTTCCTGGGTCGATCAACACCCGTTTAACACTCCAGTCATGTATTTATACCTTTATGATCATCAGGTCATTTTCATGGGTCAATATGTTCTTTGAATCTCGTCTTGAGAGTCTAACTGCGACCAATTTCTCTTCTTCTGATTTAGGTGAGTTTCCTGCAAAACATGCATTATTGTTGGGGCGTACCTCTTCCTTGTCGAGTTGGTCTCACCTCCCCCGACGAACCCTTCTTCTATAGGGTTGACAGTGTGGCATGCTACCTGGGTTTCACGCACCTCCTCGGTGCCCTTTCCCTTCTTAGTGGAGAGGTCTTCCGAGCATGACTCCCTCTGAGAAGGGCTTCTTTTTCCCGCCGACCCCCAACATCTTTCGCATGTGACAATTATTTGCCTCATTGAATGAGTATCTTAATTTCTTTCTTCAACTGATAATGATCTACCGTATAATGTCCCTTTATATGGTGGTAAGAACACTAGGAACCTTTGTATTTTCCCATCATCGCACTTACTATTCTATGCCAAGGTGGTTTTGGTAGTAGACTGAGATGCGCCATCTCATACAATAATTTTGCTCGCTTGGAGTTGAACGATGTGTAGACCTCGGGGGTGTTTTCATATGACCTCCAAACGAGTCGAGTTGCTGGTCTGTCTCGGGCTAGGTATCTCTGATGAGTTTTTCTTGGCCATGACCCCTCTTGTCTGGCTTGGGGTCTCTCCTTTGCGTCTCAAGATTGCTTTTCTATGTTAATTTCTTCGTCTATGATGTAACATTCGGCCCAGTTTATTACTTCATCCATGTTGGAGGTCGACTTATGTGCTAAAGACTCATTGAAGTGGTTGGCCCTAAGACCGTTCTGAAAAGCACTTATAAACATTTCCTGATTTGGGTGTGAAACTTTTATGGTTTCCTCATTAAAACTTGTCATGTATTTGCGGAGGGATTCAGAAGGGCTCTGACATATGTTGAACTAATTGGTAGTGGATACCTTCCTGTGTTTGTGGCTGCAAAATATGGTATCATTTTCCTGGTTAAGTCTTGGTAACCGGTGATAGAGAACCTCAGCAAACTCATGTACCAGTGCAAGTCGGCGTCCTTGAATGTTCCGTCTATGAGTTTTCACTTTAGGGAGTCGAAGGCGCCGACTATCGTCGTTTGATTGTTGATGGAGATGATATACTCTTTGTGGGCGCCAAATATTTCTGATAAACACTTTTGAATAGCCTCTCTGAAGTTAATCAGGCGAGACCGCAATTGTTTCTGTATTTTCGTGGTTGTTATCTTGCTATTTTTGTTTTGCGTCTTGGTTTTCCCCTTTTCCTCTCAGGGAGACTCCATTTTATACCTCCACCCCTAGGTCTTGCATTCATTGATTGGTGAATTCCTATCTTCGGCCATAAAGAGGATTTCTTAACTCCAGTCGCCTCATCATGAGGTATAACATCCTATTTACTAACTTCTGTAACTCTTATGTGGTTTTTGGAGTACTGTAACGGCTATGCCGGCCTTATGCATCAGATCTGACTAGTTATGCCACTTACATTTCAACATTATATATCGACTTCAGTCTCTCCATGTACACCAACTCCATGCTCGGACGTCTGATTTGCTTGATCATATCTTTCTATCTGACCTGTACACCTGTCATAAGAATTTTGGAATGTACAGATTTAATCCCCCATTATAACCCATTCATCATATCACTCTTAATGTGATCAATGTGTAAATACTAGGATCACAACTTTCTCTTATTAAAGTAACGAAACAAACTCTTTTATATTTAGTTTCTTATAACAATCATACAAGAAATAGTTCATAAATGATTAATTAAACGAATGGAATATGCTGATAAACAAAATAAAAAAATAGTAGTAACACACAAGAAAGAAAGAAAAAAAAGAATTGAATGAATAGTGTTGTATTAAGTAGAATTAGTCATTACAAGAATGAATGGTGTTGTATTAAGTCATTCCTATAATAACTTAGTAACTATCACAACTTCTACAAATATCAAACATAACTTAAGTTAATGAATTATTCACAATAACTTATACAGAACTTAAATGAGAAACTAACAATAAATTTTAACTAATTCCATCTTAAATGCTGTGTTTCGAAATCTATTTGAAATCCAAAAAAATGAAAGTGACTTCCTTTCTAGCTCAACTAAAAAAATTGGAGAAGTCCCACAATGATGAAACTTGAGTGTCAAACATGTCCATGTGACACCAGTTAGTGGCATAATCTGTGATGGAAGGAGAAGGGGAACGTAAAGGCTCATTTGCAATACTCAAAAGCATATCATGCATGTCTTCAAATTCCGTCGGAACTTGTTTGATCATAACATGTTTATCATTCGAATCTTCCATGACCACTCCATCACCAACACTAACCTCACACTGATTGTTGTCTTCAACAGCAAACAACTCAGCAGCTTCCGTCGCAGCTTTCCTTATCTCCTCTGCATCATTTGACTCCGGCAACCTCAACCGCCATGCGGAGTCAGCAAAATTAAGACAAGCTGATTTTCCCTTAAGAACGAGTGCAGCAACATCGTGTGCACGTGCAGCCATTTCAGGTGTAGGATATGTTCCAAGCCAAATCCTCGACTTGCTGCATTTGTTACGGTTAGGAACTCGCATCTCACAAACCCACTTGTTATTGTTCCTCTTTCGTACTCCTCGGTACACAGGGTGCCTTGTCTCTTTGAATACTCTTCTACCTGTTCGCCTCTTTGGTCTCTCATTTGCCAAAAACGTTTTTGCATTATTACTGTTTGAGGAGTTTATTTCTGAGGAAGAAGATGTATCTGAATGGTGGTGTGTGCTGCTATAGTTTAACTCGCTAAGTGATGATTCAAAAATATTCATGAGAAAAATGAAGTTGCTTATGTGAATGAAATGAGCTAAGTGAGGAAGGGAGTGTGTGTGGAGAGTTTATTTGTACGTAGCTTATTGGTGAGGTGGCAAAGAAAAGGACCACGTATGTCACACGAACACGGGGGCAGGCTACTTTTAAGTAATATATTCAGTACAATCGTTTCTTCACTTTTATGGGACAGAATATATGATAACGACAAAGGTTGATTTGAAAGGTCCCATATACCTCCTACTTGTCATATTATTTTACACCTTGACTTGGGTGTTTCCTACTACTATCCATCCAGGCTTAAAACAGTGGAAGACAAGGTTTAAAACGTGGGTTACTCTTATTTCATTACAATGAATAATCAACATTTTTCAGACATCACAATTTTTACCAAATATTCTTCTAAATTATCTCTATCTAATACATTATTTTCAAAAATATTTTTGTTTTTCTTTTTTATAAGAACTCTTTTAAAATATCTCTATATAGAATTTTTTTTTTTTTTGTCAAGGATTGAAAAATCCATTTCGTTATCATCACAATTTTTTTGTTGGAGGTGTTGGAACAAAGAGTTTTTAAGAAATATGATTTATAAAAAAAAAAGAAGGAGAGAGAGAGAGAGAGAGAGATATTTAAAGTTTGATATTGATTATAACTGAATTGTAAAACTATTGCATTGTTAAAATTACAAACTAGAAAGCCCTTTATATAGTCATACAATGCCCAGACCCAATTCGATTATATACAAGCTTTGACCCAAAACTAGATTTTTGACAAACTACATAATTCTTGTATTTGACTCTGTCGAATACAGTTGACAACCTATTCACAACTAGCAAAGTTCGACATGCTTCTCATACATTCATTTTGACGGAACAAGAATTACACCTTCTAACACACCCCCTAATTCATGTTCTCGAGACTTCTCATCCCAATACTTCTCTTTAACTCGTCGAATATGACTTTCTTTAGAGGTTTGGTGAATATGTCAGCTAGTTGCACTTTTGTCTTGCAATATTTTAGCTCCATGTTCCCTTTGTTGACTTGATCCCTCATAAAATTATACCTTCTTTCTATGTGCTTACTTCGACCATGATACACTGGGTGATTCATCAAATCAATTATTGACTTGTTGTTGACAAACAACTTCATCCTCTTTGGTTCTGTTATCTTGAGTTCCTCAAGTAATATTTCAACCCATGCTACTTGGCATGCATCATATGATGCATCCGCATATTCTGCTTCGCATGATGACAAAGCCATAATACTTTGCTTTCTCGAGCTCCAAGATATTGGAGCACCTTCCATAATGAAAATGTAGTTTGTAGTGCTTTTCTTTTCGTCTTGATCTCCACTAAAATTTGAGTCAGTGTATCCTTGAACTTCGACATATATGTTGTTCTTCGACTTCTTTGGCAACAACACACCATGATCAATTGTTCCTTTTATGTATCTCAAAACCCTCTTTACTGCAATGAGATGACACTCTTGGGATTTCTGCATGAATTGACTCAATAATCTGACACTTTGACAAATATCAGGTCTAGTATTGTAAAGGTACCTCAAGGATCCAATGATTTGTTTGTATAGTGTCAAACTTACAAACTCATAATTTGTTTCCTTTTTCAACTTTGTTATAGTTTCTAACAGAGTGACAACTGCATTACAGTTGCTCATATTGAACCTCTTCAGTATATCTTGGGAATATTTCATTTGATGCAAGAATACTCCTTCTTCAGTATATTTGAATTCCATCCTTAGGAAATAAGAAAGATTCCCTAAGTCGGACATTTCAAATTCCTGCATTAGTTTCAACTTTATTTTTATTATCTCAGCTTCGTTTACTCCACTAATGAGTAAGTCATCAATATAGAGGCATAAAATGATTCGACTGACACTGTTGATATCATTTACATACACTCCATGTTCAGGGACACACTTTGCGAAACCTGCTTCAATCAGGAAGCTATCTATTCTCTTATTCCGAGCTCTAGGAGCTTGTTTCAAACCATAAAGAGCCTTCCTTAATCTATAAACCTTCGACTCCTGCCCTTTGATGTCAAATCGTGGTGGTTAAGTAACATGGACCTCTTCTTCCAATGGTTCATTTAAAAATGCTGATTTTATATCCAACTGATGCATCTTCCATTCTCTATATGCTGCTATTGAAAAAACAATTCTAATTGTTTCTAGTCTTGCAACAGGCGCATAAACTACTTCAAAGTCGATACCAGGTTTTTATTGAAAACCTCTTGCCACCAATCTTGCTGTATACTTGGCAATCTCACCATTTGGCCTCTGTTTCACTTTGTAGATCCAATTTACATCGATTGGATTCTTATGAGTTCTTTCGAGAAGCTCCCATGTCTTGTTCTTCTTAATAGCTCTGAGTTCTTCTTTCACAGCTTCACACCAATTCTAATTACTCATGTCTTGATCCAAGTCAATTAGTTCTGCTTCATCCATCATCATGGCTTCTTCGATTAAATCACCATCAGCATCAACTGCTTGATCTGGAAATCTTTCATATCCAACTAGCCTTGTCGACTCAGTTCTTATTCTTATCGACCTTTTTTAATTCTACACAGGTGGTTGTTCCTTTTGATTGGTTGAAGCATCACCTTGTTCATTTCAACTCGTTGAAGCCTCGTTCTATTGATCTTCTTTGAACACAGTACTGACTGTGTCTGATTCCTATCGAACTAAAACTTGACTCCAATCCCACCCTTTGCTTTCGTCCATAAGAACATCTCGACTTATCACTAGTTTATCTTTTTTTGGCGAATACAACTTGTATGCACCAGTCGAATGATAATCTATGAGCACTATGACTTCACTTCGATCATCCAGCTTCTTTCTTAATTATACAGGTACATGCTTGAAGCACATTGATCTAAAAACTCTAAGATGACTCACATTTGGCTTTGACCATGTCCAAGCTTCATAACGTATCTTTCTGACCATCTTCTTTGTTGCACACCTATTTAGAATATATACTATTGTCGAAGTTGCTTCAGCCCAAAATCTTTTAGGCATATCTTTAGCTTTCAACATACTTCTCATAATGTTTAGTATACTTCTATTCTTTCTCTCAGCTATGTAATTATGCTGAGGTGTATAGGGTTCAATAACATCATGCTCTAAAACCCTCCTCATTACAAAATATAGAAAATTCAGCAAAAGTACGTTCACCACCTCAATCAGTTCTCAACTTCTTTAACTTGCATCCACTTTGTTTCTCATCATGCAAGTTGAACTTCTTGAACAGTGTGAATACCTCATTCTTCTTTTCAATAAGGTAAATCCACACATGTCTAGTGAATTCATAAATGAAAGTAAGGAAATACATGTTACCTCCATTTGAATTTACTTCAAAAGGTCCACACACATCAGAATGAACCAACTCCATTTTTTGCTTTGATTTCATGGGCAAGTCATGTTTGAACGCTTTCCTGCCCTGTTTTGCTTTGCAGCATTACTCGCATACTTACTTTGGTTCTTGTTGTACCCCAAAATTTGCCCTCCCATATTCTTCAAGATTTGGCAAGATCAAGCTTCAGAATCCCTCAAGGGTTGCACAGTCCAATTCCCTCCTAACACAGTCAAAATTAGGGTTTTGGTTCTTGCAAAGAAATTGAGGTTTTCAAGGGTCCAATCAAATCCCATATGCCTATATACATTATCAAGCATCCATATGTCAAGGTTCAAGACTCACAGCATCAAATTGCACAGTCAAAAGCCCTAATTGCTTCACAGTCAACTGCAGGGGCAAAATGGTCATTTGACAGACAAAAGTCAAAAAAATTTGGTCAACATCTTATTTTGAAGCCACAATCATCATTTGATCAATTCTTGATCATGATTCCACAAGCATGGCTCAAAAAGTCTCAAGATGCAAAAGTTTCTATTTTTGGACAGTTGAAAAGTCAACTACAAATTGACCAAGGCATAACTTTTTCATGGTTTATCAAAAAAATCCCATCCAAAGCTCATTTTGAAGGGGATTACATTTCCTACAATTCATCTTCACACTCCAAGTCCAAGAAATGCTCTCACAAAAAGTTATCAATTTCAACATTATAGGTCATTTTCAAAAGTCAACAAAAGGGCACTTTAAGTCAAAGACCATAACTTGAGATTGGTAAATCAAAATGACATGGGACCAAAGGCATTGGTTAGAGGACTTCAAGACCTTTCCAAAATGTCCAAGAACATGTTCATAGCTTCTAAATTGAGCAAGACATGCATTGGAGAAGTTGGGAAATTTTTGGGAACTTTCAAAAGTCAACTTTGCCTAAAACACTTCAATTTTGCTAATGGGCCTCAAATTCTTTACCCAAAGCCTATGCACGACCCATTGAGCTTAAAATAATTTATTTTCTTATTTTTAATTTTTATTATTATTAATTCATTTAATTGGTTTTAATTGTAGAAAAATATCAAAGCATGGTTGTCAAATCTTTTTATGAAGCAAATACACTCCACACATGCTAAAGATTTCGTGCATCACTCAAGGGGACAAGATCTTCCATAATTGGTAAGGTTTTCATGGAAAAAGATTGAAAATTATATGATGGAAAATCAAGGATTGAAAACATTATTGCAATGGATTCATGGGCTTATTCTTGACCTAATTCACATCACATACATATGCTGAGTGAAACCCTACTCAAGGACGCACGTAAAAGCTGCTGCAATCACACAACCAATTTGCAAAATTTCAAGGAAAACTTGAAAACTGAAAACCTATTTGCAGTGCAATTCAAAGCCTCTTTTGGATTCAAACAGCTTGCCTGAGTCTCCAGGAAGCATTTGCCATCAAAAACCAATCCTAACACGTGAAGAATCAAAGAACATAAGCCACACGGTTTGCCTTATTTTTCAAACCTGCATATCATGTTTCATGTGCTTTTAATCTGTTTTCTTGTTTGATTTATGCTAATAGGGACCTTCTGAAGCGATTGGTATAATCTAATTGAACTAACGCTGCCTGAATCAAAAT